GCCGCGCAACAGCAGCGTGGATGTCAGCTCCCCGCCTGCTGCCGAACAGGTGCGTGGGAGCCAGAGAGAGGGACTCCAGTGCCGAGAGGGGGGCGAGCAGGGGCGAGAGAGGTGCCCACACAAGAGGGCAGGAGGACGCCAGACGCACGACACAGTGAGTGACGTCAGTTGTCACAGTGAACCACAGTAATGTAGCCGTCAGGGCAGCGGTGGCAGCGACATCAACTGCGCCCAAGCGCGCTACCAGAAAGGCCGGTGCCATGTGCGCCACACATGCAAACGCAGACTGGATGTCAGGGAGCGCAACGCATGCCACACAAAAGTGGCGAGAGGGGGGCGAGGGGGAGAGGAGGGGCGAGAGGGGGGAGAGGGGGGGTGGGGGAAGGAAGGGGGGAGAGAGAGGGGCGAGGAGAGAGGGGGGCGACGAGGGGGGCGAGAAGGGGGGGGGGGCGAGGAGGGGGGGAGAGGGGGGGAGAGGGAGCGAGAGGGGGGAGAGGGGGGGGACGGGGGGGAGGGGGGGGAGGGGGGCGAGAGGGGGGCGAGAGAGGGGGGGGGAGGGGCGAGAGGGGGGCGAGAGGGGGGCGAGAGGGGGGGTCCAGACGAGGGGCTTTGGGGGGGTCCAGACGAGGCGTCGCCCGAGTTTCTTTGGGGAAATTCAGAAAATCCCAAAAACTCACTGGCGGCCACAGTGGATAGCCTCCGTTTCCGAGGAGCTCAATTCGACCAGCGCAGTCGATCCGGAGCTCATCGCCTGCGCCAAGTTGGATGACTTCAACAACACTATTGAATTCTAACACGGAATTGCCAAAAAAATGCCATTTGATCCATAGGAAATCAATGGAAATCATCTTCCAAACCAAAAGTATAGTCACTTAATCAAATTTGAATCGATGCACTTAAATCATCTTCCAAACAAAGAGGTCATCGGGGTTCCCATGTCTCTTTTTGGGAAGGTAGGTTGCTAATGAGACCTGCCACCCCTACGAAGGTGGAAGTGCCAACCCCATGTGGAACTGCAACGATCCTATCATCAAAGGGGAAAAATCTTGGTCAGATCTTGTATTGCACGGAAATATACGATAAAAATAAAACACCTGTTTCATCAACGGGAGTTTGCACGGTGCGCAGTGATCCACAAAGCATGTGTCGTGTCTTTTCTCAGCACCATCTGCAAGCATATGGCAGGACGAATTGGAAGTTCAAGCTCGCTGATGACGCTTTAGTGCCCTGGATAGTTGTCGCTGCTAGCCATGGCATGGGATGTGCCACTGGGACCGGAACCAGCTGGCCATCCATAGCGAAGGCAGGTGAACTCTGCGATCTCGGGGATCTCCTTGAAGAAAACATGCCACGAGTCCTCCAAATCTCACAGCGGCACCAAAATTCGATGCCTGTGCCGGAATCGGTGCGCTCACCAATTTTCACGTTTCGGCCCAAACTGGAGATCCAAGATCTCGTAGGACTCTACATCTGGGCAACGAGGGAGCTGGAGGCACTGCTCCTAAATCAGGTCACCATTGATTTGTTCAGAATGGTGTGGCACAACATAACTCTGTTTCCAGCACCATCGAACTCGCTTCAATTCCAACTCCATGGTCCTTGCACAAGGTATAGACTTGATTTTTGGCTTCACAGCCTTTCGCACAGAGAAGCCTGAAAAAGTCAAGTGTGAAGGAGTCCAAAGCCAATGTGCTCCAAAGAATCAATCTCCACAGTTCGAATCTGGCGATCTGCACGGCCCGTTCCATATCAGAAAAGCCCTGCCTTCAGCCTTGACTGGCTCTGGTGTATATTCAATGGCCGACCCGTTTCCAATGGGGTACCATTTCTTGCCGGTGGTTAGATTCTAGGCACAATTCTGGACGATGGTGACCTGGGAAATTTTCTTCAATGCATTGACCAGGAGGAATTTTGGCGCAGAAGCTCTGAAGGGATCCAGAACCATCTGTGGCATTCACAGTTGTTGCTGTTGAATACATGCAATTCCCTGCAGTATTTGTTGCGCATTCGCCGCCTTTCACCTCCTGTCTGCAGTCCATGACAGTACTCTGGAATCTCCGCACGGGCAACAGGGTGAATCGTAGCTGGGAAACTGAATGTCTGCTGGAAACTGGGCCACGATATCGGCAGCCACATCAACAGCCTTATGCAGATAACTCCTGCGATTAGATTTCAACTTTATGCGGAAAAAGATTTGATGCTTGAAAAACAAAGAGATTTCTGGCCAGGAAGAGCACATCGAAAAACCGACATCAAATGGGATGAAATCTTATAACAGCCACATCAACAGCCAAGAGTGACAGTCCGGCGGTGCTTCCCCGCTGGCACTGTGCCGGTTGCAGACAGAAACTAGGATGCACACAATGCCAATAGACTGCTGTGCATCATTGCTGTCAACAAGATGGGGAAAGGTTTGGACCGGGGAATGGCTTGAGCAATTCACGCAATCCACCACGTCGTTTTGACAGTGCGTGTTCCGTGTTGACAGAGAAAAAGTAAAACATCCATTGATTTATCTGAAACTAGGATATTCCCTTAAAGTGACTACACTATCAGAATCATAAGCTTCCCATATTTTCCCCAATGACATTGTGCCTGTCTTGGTGGCTTAATCCTCCTGCCTTTGCTGCCAGTAGAAGGCGCAACAATGGCATCGACCTCATGGAGCCGTCCGTTCTTGCTGAGGGCAAAATGATGGTTGCTGCTATGTGCGGCCTACATGTAACATATCTCAGCATCAATAAATATATATATTGATGCATTAAGTGAGATAGATAGATAGATAGATAGATTGATTGATAGATAGATTGATAGATAGATTGATTGATTGATAGCTAGATAGATAGATAGATAGATAGATATTTTGCCAGTCTGCCAGTTGGGCCAAGGGCCACACTCCTCTGTCTTCTCCAACTGCAAGGCCCAGTAAATGCCCGTGTCATCGTAGAACGACCTGCCCAGGTCCAAGGCTCCCCAGGGCATGGTGCAACCAGAGTAACCGGTGTAACGATGCAACCGGTGTCGCGCAAAATGCTGGACACTACTTGCGCCAGCAATGTGTTGGATAACATTATATATATATATGTATGTGTATATATATATGATATCCATGATGGACGTTGATGGCTTTGAAATTCAAGATGTCAAACCCTGCCCAAAAGCCTTAAACTCCGAAATCCTGGATGTGTTTGCAGGCTATGGGAAATTCCCATTTGGCTATAGCTCAAAATTGGGGGATAAGACTTTTCATTTGGGGGATTAATAATTCTCATCTAACTGACTAGACTAATCACATATTTCGATAGATATTCTCGGGATAATCTCGGGATGTTCCACCCATTTCTAGTTGGCAACTGCTATTTTTTGTTGGTCAAATCATGTCAAATCCCAATTCTGATGGTAAAATCACCATTTTTTTCTGCTAAACCCATGGACTTCCGAGCTCCGGCTAAGCCTATCATGGCCTCTAAGCCCAGCGCGCCGAATTTTGGGATCCCCCACACCGCGTCCCCGGCGGTCTGCAACTCCATGAGTGCCACAGGTGTACGGAGCCGCCTCCGCCTTGGTCGATTCGTGCCATCTGAAAACGGGTAGGGATAACAACAGTAATCATCATGATAATAATTGTAACAATAATAATTATTATCATCATAATCGTCATCATCATCATCATCATCATCATCATCGTCGTCACCACCATCATCATCATCATCATCAGATCATGAAAGGTATCAGGCCGGCTTGGAAAACATCCACGAGGAGTCAATTGCTCCTGGTTTGATGTCGGGCAGCTTCTATCGTGAGGTTACGCGACACGCCGGATGTTTGATAAGCACTCCTCCAAACCCTGGCTAGTTTGTTGTATGTTCGAAGGCACTTGCAGCCAGATCGTTCTATTGATACATGGTATGACCACAGGGGTTCTGGCAAGTAACAAAAAGAGAACATGCTAGCGGCAAAGTCATGGTTGAGAGGCCTTCAAGGTATGATTTCGGAAGACCGCTACCAACTGCAAAAAAAACCTGGAGTGTAAATCATGAAGGCCCTTTGAAGAGTGGGCTTGACAATGCTGACACTACGGTCACAGCCGACTTCTTCCCAGGATACACCCAAGGTCAGCGCTTGCGAATTGCTGTGTACACAAGGAGTTCCACTTCATCTGATGTATCGCTGATGTTCCTGGCATGAGCCCATCGGCATGAGCTTGTCCATAGCTGGCTAGACACTAAAATAGACCCTCATCTGCCCATGAAAAAATGTGAATTTCGCTCCAAAATGTTGGTACTCTTGCCACTGTGATTACCACTCTAAAATCTGGGTTATTTCATGTTATTTCCTCATCTTTTCTCATTTATCACTACTAAGGTATCATGCATAAGCTGCATAAGTATCGCTTTCACCCATAAGTGTTCTGCGGTCCGTTGCCTCAAAAGTGCCACAAAGAGGCCATCCTGACCCTCGCCAGCTTCGACCTGGCGCTAGGCGCCCCCCCGTGGCTTCACCATGGATTTCGGGGTAGCCCCTTTTCAAGATCTCATCATGTCAAGAATACATCAAAATACATCAAACATCTTCAAAAATGGCTGATTTGTTAAATTTGTTTTACGTTTTTCTCCCGGAGGATGGGGGTTCCACAAAGTTCTCAAGACATCATCGGCCTCCACCATCTCGGCACCAGCATCATCCAATCGAAACAAACGCGTCAAGCCGCTCCAAAGCATCTGCGTGGCGCGACGAACGACGAAGGGTTGGGGCCAGTGGTGGATGTCAGGCTGCGGGGCGGGGCAAATGTCTGGTGAATTCCAGGAGTGAATCGAATTAGTCAATATGATGATATGATGATGTCAATGAAGTGTTCACCTATACAATTTGTCCAGATATTTATGTAATTTGTGTTTGATCGTACTGGCCACGTTCTAAATGACCATGGTCAAGCGGTAGCTGGTGTCGTGGATCTTGACCCACATTTAGATTTTTTGACAGAAGCTCCAAGTGACGTCCCTTTCTCCAAACAGCCATCTGGTTGACACTTTTCTAAGCGTCGCTTCATTGCTCTAGCGTCTTTGATGGGTGAAGTCGACCAAAAACAATGCGGTTGTTTCCGCCTCAGAAGCAGCTGAAAGTAAAGCCTTCACGAAACAACGCCATGGGAGCCCCCCAACGCCAAAATCCAGCAGGATCTAACAAAGTTGACTCTGCCCGAGCCCAAAATATCCCCAAACAGTCAGACTTGGAAACCTATTGCAGCTGGCTGGCTAACTTCTGCAGATACATCTCCCAGAAAGTCTTTGTAGAGGGCCACTTGTTCATCTGCAAAGGATGGAGTACTCAGGTTCTCCATGAGAACTCCATCAGACTTCAACAACCGCACCACATTTCCAAGGTCCTGAGCAGATTGAGCAGTGGAATCTGATGCAACTGGAAAATGCATAAAGGGTCTCCCAGGATGAGATCGGTGCAGACTGAAAAATCCGAGTATCTTTCCGGTCCAGGCGGATGTTGTGCCCTACATCAGTGACCTCGGTCTGCCATAAACCTACCATCTGGGAATGGTTTACTAACCGTTAGTTAACCCATCAAAAAGAAATAGTGGATAGTTCCTGGCATTGGGTGCACCATGTGTGCCACACTATCTTCATTTTGCCATTCTGGGTTCAGGACGATCGCATCAAAAGTCCCAGCTTTTGTGGTCGAAAGTTTGGACAACACCCTGTGGACATCATCCACGATGGCTTCTCCTTGGCGCCCAATGGGTAAGATATCTAGCCTTTCGATGGCGTCCAATGTCCAAACCAATGGCCACAAGATAAGTGGAGTTATGACTTATGACTACGTATGACTCTACCCATAGTGGGTCCAACTCAGAGTTGATTCCCATTCGGCTGCAATGTCTATTTTGAACTGGGCCCATCATTGCCATGGATGTCTCCGGCAAGGTGCCATCAAAGGCAAAGAAGTCCCGGGCGGCTCTCACCACATTGGCATTGTTGTCCACTGCCACAACCTGAGATGTGACCAGGTGCCCAAAAAACAGGGACACTCGGCTGGACTATACCCGCCATATCCATCCTCCCAGCGTCGGTCGGTCGGTTTATAAACCAATGCTGATGAACCCAGGGGGAGCCAAGTGGCATGGCTTCCAGGGCACTTTGTCCGCAAGAAGCTTGGGATTGTTCCCCCTGGTCGGAGATGGCTGGACATCACCTGCTTGAATTTGTATAGGGATATGTCCTCATCTATCACTGCCTGCAGAGTCATCACTCAACATGCATGTTGAATTGTTGTTAACTCCAAGTTATGATGGTAAGTGCCTGCGAGTTGCTTACCCTGTGGTTCTACTGTATTGATGCTATATGGTTAGTACTTGCTAATCTGGTGACGTTAACTCATTGATTTGTCACCTCCCATGTCCCGCGAAGCACACCATGGCGCCTCCCAGTCCCAGCACCAGGACGTTCTGCTGATGACAATCCATCAGCGGCCCCAGCATGACTTTGGCATAGGGCAGCAGCTCCGAAAGTCCTGGAAGAAAAAAAACACAAAACATCAGTCTTGACCAAAATGAAATACGAATGAAATCTCAAGATGGTCACCACCCATCATTGTTGACGTTTATTTTCCCCAAATGAACCACCAACTCTCAACGCAGACATTGAATAAAACGGTCCCCATTATTATCGGGAGACCAGTGATGTTTGCCCCTCAGAAATGACCAATAAATTTTACAATAAATTGGATGGTCCAGGTGTGCCCCATTTTAAAGAAGCTACCATTTAGCTCTGTCCGAGAGTTAGTTTTTCCCAAATCTGATGAACAAACATGTTCCGCCTTTTTCCCAGACTTATTGGGGTATACCGAGTGCACCCCATGTCATTTCCAACCCGAGGTAAACCTCCCCAAGTCCTCCGCGAAAATCCGCTGCTGCGCAGCGGAGCCGCTGGCGTATCGTTGGCTCGTCGCACGGCCCAGAAATCGGAACCGGTGCGGAGCCCAGGCACCGCAGGCGGCTTTGGATGAAACCAGGCCTTCCATGGGAACGTTAGGGCCATGGGGAACTTGATCATCAAAGGTGTTTTTAATCATTGAACAATATTGAATCAAGAAATATGGGGACATCATTCATAGATAGATAGATAGGTAGCTAGATAGATTGATAGATCGATAGATCGATACATCGATACATCGTTCACCATTAAAACATGCTATTCCATGATATTTCGGTTTTTCTAAGAATCGGTATACCGGTACCCCAAAACGCAACAGTTATGGTAGGGAAAGTGATGATGGCCGCAGTAGATCTAGGGGTCCCCTTTGTTCGAACAAACCCAACTGGATAAGAACTGGGAGGTTTCAGGGTATCAGGCAATAACTGGATACAACTGAGTGGTTCCCCCATCATGCCCACGTTATATTTGGGGGTTCTAACGTGTTCTGATACAGTCACTCAACCAATCTGAAGGATCATCAGAGCATCACGCCCAAAATTGTGTGAAAACTCAATGAAAACAGCAGGGAAACCTCTAGATTTTTGTGGAATGCTGTACCTGCGGCATTGTTTCGGCATGTGCCAAACAAAAATATTGTAAAGTCATCAGCAAATCTCCAACACCTCTGAGGACACGTCACCTTCAATCATATCAACACCTTCAATCATATCAATCATGTACATGTTTGCTGGCGGGCCTTTGTGTGTCAATGAGTTCCCGCACGTTCTGGGGCGTCACGACCACCTGAAAGTAGAGACACTTAAGTATCTTAAGAATCTTAAGTATCTTAAGCAGCAAAAGTGATCATTCCATGTCATCCCTTCAAAACGCATTGTTATTTCCTTTAAAAGATGTCCTATCCTCAACTCATCACTTTGTGGGGGGATCATGATTTTGCCGACCTGTTGGGAGGCTGAACTTGCCAACAAGCATCCGAGACGGTGTTGTCTCCATGAATCCCTTGACAGCTGGACACATCTTCAACCAGTCTATCTCGCATTGCGACGAATCTTGCATCAACGAGTGGTCATGCAAGCAACACTGACGCCGATTTCACTGGTGGCAGGGGTTGTGAGCGTTGAATAGCTTCAGAAATCTATAGCTGAACTGTACTGCCGTGGCTATTGACCATACCCTCTTGTATACTGTTCTGGATTGGCAGGACAGAAATTCTGCAACTGGTGTTCAAACGGTCATCTAACCAGGCAATGAAATCTCATCCACGGATGATTTACGGATCAAACATCGGCATGACAACATGCCAGGTTGGTTTGGTTTCCACTTTCAATTTCTGTATGTCCCAAAGTTCTGTGTCCCCGGCCATGGCAGCTATCACAGCTATCAGCTCCAAGCCAAGTCCGCTACGGAACGGCAGGTCCATGTGGATCATGTTGGGATACAGCTGACCAGGCTGGCCATCATGGGGATCGAATTGGAAATATTGGAAGAGAAGAGATACGATATAATATATATTTATTTATATATATATATATACCTCCCAGAAAATCAATGGGTGTCTGCAACGTGTTTTCTTGTGTGTGCTCATTGTACTCACCATCCCCCAGACTTCGTTGGTCTGTTTATGTCTGTTTCAGGAAACGAAACACCCTCATCTGGTAGTATGGAAAGTTTGGACAGAAACTCAGCTTTGTTCACATCACAGAACGAACGGGTCTTTGGTTGACGGCACTGGCCAACAGCAATTTGCAGAGCCATGCTTTGGGAAGCAGGGAGTTGACTGGACTTGATACAAGCAAGTATAGAGATTGGATTTGTCCACATGTATGCCTGGATACACATTTAGATAGATGTGTTGCAGTGACACTTGGTTGCAAATGACAACAAAGAGACAGGTAGTGGTATGCTATACTGAACGAAGCAGTGTCTCTTACGTCAACTCCTCTCTAGTTTGCAGTTGTCCTTTGCAACTCTACTCATTGAAGTCACCCCATTTGGTACTCAGGTACTCCAGGGACTTTTTGCTACACGCGTGACATCTCAATCTGCAGAATGATGCGCTTCCCTGCGGTAACAGGTGTGATCCAATGGACCAATTTCTCTCCACCTTAGAGGTCGACACGGCTCAAACATTGGAGTACCAATGGATCCACAAAAATGCCAGGACCGAGGCCATCACGAAACAATACCTCAGCTTGGAGCGTTCATTTTTGGGTCCATGGAGTATGCCCCCAAAACTGGCAATTGAACAGCGAAGAATAGTGATAAACCTCCAACTTTGGGGTACGAGTACCCTGATTTCGGACAAACCCAAATGATGTCTCATCATTCAGCTGGGCCTTCAATCTGTTGCGGCCAAGCGCAGCAAAAGTGCTTTTCATCAAAGAGAACACAGTAAAGAGAAAAATGGGGGAAGCCTCCTCTCAAATCTGTGGTCCTTCGCAGGAAAATCTACAGGAAACATCAACTCTAACTATCTGTCATACTCATAATCCATGGTTTCAACATGTTTTCCCCATTTTGGCTGCGTAAAACTTCATAAATCTCCATTCAATCACCACTGGATTCACTGCTTGGTGAAATCCCATCCACGTCATCCAGGTCACCACATCGCCTTGTTCCAGCGACAGCTCCCGGTGCCCGCGACTGCTTTGCGCCCGGCGGAAGCAGCTGCGACCTCCCACGTAGGCGCTGGGGACGGAGAGCATCGCCACCAGGGTGACCTTGGTCCACAATGTTTTAATAGGAAAAATACCGGCTATACCTTCTAAAATGGCAATTTAAATAGGGAAAAAATGAAAAAATGATGATTGATCTAGAGGTACCATATTTTCAGACAAAGCTGAGAGGTCTTGTGGCTGGTTGGAAGTTATGTGAACAAATGAAGCAATGAAGCCGTAAATGAATGTGACCTGATTGTCACAATATTTCAGCGAAACCTACGTTCGGGGTTACCTAACCCATGTAAGACTGTAAGATCTACGGAAAATCCACACCGCAAAGGTCACAAATATGGGCTCACATGGCGCAGTACCTGAATCTTAGATTAGAGGCCTGCAATGGCTGTTGAAAAGCATGGCTTGGTGATTGAGCCAGGCCCAGAAGTATTCCGAATCCAATTCGCATCATCATTGTTAGGAATGGGAAAATATGTCATTGAAACCACTGGCCAGTCGCAAGAAATATAGATATTCTTGACCACAAATGCCCTATATCACCCCGCCAAATCTATTGTGTGCTTTATTGCCGAGGAACTGCAGATTTGTTGTCAACATGCGGCTCGATGTAGCAGGGTTCCCCCATCTCTTCCACATCGTATTCAATGTACTCGACCTCTGGATACACCTTCCTCATACGCAGCCGGTGGCAAGCAATGGGACGTGATTGAACAAAAATAATTCCAAGTCAAATCTCTGAGAGACATGTCCGATCCATTCTGTCATGCAAACACTGCTGAATGTGATCATTCCCAGATTTATGGATCATAATTCGCAAAAAAACCAAACACATCTCCACATCAGCATCATCGCTTTTGATTGGCTACATACTCGAGTTTCTGCCCAGAAATTGCATCTCCAGCCCCACTTTTTCCGTTGGAAACCATGTTTTTATACCTATGTGCCATAGTCAAAACATAAATCGTTTATGTTCATCCCACCATCATTTGGTATTCTTCGTATCGCCTGGAGGGATACAGTAGGACCAACCCACCCATGCCCTGCCAAGACTCTTGGACTTGGCACTGAGCCTCTTCCATTTGGCTTCATCCGCACTGCGCATCAGAGCCATCAGACGAGCCTCGGATCGAGAATGGATCCAGAATGGATGGAACCCACATCACGTTGGGCAACAAAATCGTGCCGAAGCGTTCCAATGCCGTTTCATCATTTTCCAACATTGCCATTTTGGGGTGCACCGGGTGCACCACTTCATTGGGAGCCCCATGGTGCTGTCGACATCCACCAAGGAGCATAGAGATCAGGGTACAGAGCGCGAAGCTGCAGTTCAAAGCGCCACACCCTGCGCGAACAATAAGCTACAATAGATTCGTGGATTGGTCGGGCCCTTTTGGGAGATGAGTCCCATTCACCATGATGGTGAGATTGCTGCAAGTTGACAAATTGATGTAAGTTTCCAAGCAGGTTTTTTCTCCCATCACCTTTGCCTGGAGGTTTTGAAATCAAGTTGAAGGAAAAAGAACATCCCTTCAATCAACATCTACCTCCCCAAAAACAGTGTGGTGTAGAAACCCCCTGTATCTACTGAATCTATTGGGACCCAAATAGCAGACTTGGTCCACCAGGACATCTCAAGTTCTTTTCCCCCAAGATGGCACTGAGAGCCATAACTAGGGTAGTCCTAGTAAAACCCTCACTGCTATACTTGTAACTCCAACTATTAGATATTTCAGGACCATCACATAATTATGTCGGTGTATAACTGTATAACTACCATGTTCATCCAATTTCTCTATTAAAACATTTCAAAACACCATAATTTCCCATGACGTCCCATAACTTCCCAAGGCCCGCCTGTGTTTGAAGGCCAAATAGCCCTTGCGGTCGTTGATCTCTCGTACCGAGCTGTGCTTGGCCGCCTGGCCTATGGCCTGCCCGTCGGATTTAAATCCCGACTTAGGGATGTTCGTTTCTCCCAAATATGAAGGATATCATAGGTTTAACCCGTTCCTATAATACATATAATATATATATACACACACATATCTATATTATATATATATGTATATTAATACATATATATATATATGTATATATATATATATGTATATATATGGGTATACATATATATGGGTATATATATATATATGGGTATATATATATATATGGGTATAGTATCGTTAAGAGCTTTTTGCAGTGTTTGAGAACTTATATAAATCATAGAAGTTGCGCACGTTTCATAGCAGTTGTGCACGTTTCACAAGCCCCGTAATAACGTTCGTGTTCAACTGCTGCGGAATGGACTCAAAACCGAAGCTCCTAATGATACTATGCCGATATATATATATATATACTATACATATATATATATATACACAATAAATATAATATATATATATTTATTCTGTATATATATATGTATAGTATATAGCTGTTCTGTTCTGTTGGTGCCAAACACTGTCTGTGTCGCCAGCACGCAAGGACAGAAGGATTGAATCGAGATTCAAGATCAGAGATCAATAAAATCAGAACTCTTCGACGCAAACTCCCTTCAACAGAATACGAAATAGAAACGACTTAGAAACGACTTAGAAACGAAAGGTCGTTTGACCTCATCCGAAAACGCCAAGGCGTCTTACAACAATCAAATGAAGGGTATGAATTTGGTCAGCACTTGCCGTGAACAAGCTAGTGTTGTGCCCAAAGCTAGACCAAGCATAAGTGCTTGAAAAACCCAATTGTGTCTCGGTCTACCATTTCTTCGATATGTTGGCTTTGCTCAAGCATTGTTTCCACTGACAATGTAGCTTCTGAGAAGGTCAGATGAATCAGACCTTAGAAGATGCCCCATCAATTTCTTTTTTTGCAAGAGAGTTGCGCTGACTAATTCCTGATGTCTGTAATGGATTAATAATGCCCCCCCGATTAATCAACAGCAACTGCCCAAAAAAAAATGTAATCTAAAAACAGGTGGTCCCCCCAGATTAATAAACACTTTGGCCTACCCCCGATTAATCAACCACCAATTCTGAAACCCATATTTTTAATCCAACAATGTTTATTTCCAATTCCTTTTATCCGCCGACCCCGGCCTTCGCCAAGGCCGGGGCGGCGCCTGGGACCACCGCAGGTGTGGAACTTTTCCAACACGCCCAGCACGCAAAAGCTACCACAAGGCCACAGCAATGGCTCAAGGGCACCTTCCGGCCGCAGCAATGGCTTCTTATAGGCGTTCAAGGCTGCCGTTTGCCAGGCCTCAAACCCTCCAAAACCCTCCAAACGCTCCAAAAGTTCGCATAGCTCCGCAGGGACAAGGTACCCCAACAAGCCCAACACGCGCCACTCCCGCACGCAAAAGCCACCACAAGGCCACAGCAATGGCTCAAGGGCACCTTCCGGCCGCAGCAATGGCTTCTTATAGGCGTTCAAGGCTGCCGTTTGCCAGGCCTCAAACCCTCCAAAACCCTCCAAACGCTCCAAAAGTTCGCAAGTCCGCAGGGACAAGGTCGCCACTCCCGCACGCAAAAGCCACCACAAGGCCAAGCAATGGCTCCGCAGCAATGGAGGCGTTCAAGGTACCTCCAAAAGCATAAGCCCAACCCCAACGCGCCACTCCCGCACGCAAAAGCCACCACAAGGCCACAGCAATGGCTCAAGGGCACCTTCCGGCCGCAGCAATGGCTTCTTATAGGCGTTCAAGGCTGCCGTTTGCCAGGCCTCAAACCCTCCAAAACCCTCCAAACCCTCCAAACGCTCCAAAAGTTCGCATAGCTCCGCAGGGACAAGGTACCCCAACAAGCCCAACACGCGCCACTCCCGCACGCAAAAGCCACCACAAGGCCACAGCAATGGCTCAAGGGCACCTTCCGGCCGCAGCAATGGCTTCTTATAGGCGTTCAAGGCTCCGTTTGCCAGGCCTCAAACCCTCCAAAACCCTCCAAACGCTCCAAAAGTTCGCATAGCTCCGCAGGGACAAGGTACCCCAACAAGCCCAACACGCGCCACTCCCGCACGCAAAAGCCACCACAAGGCCACAGCAATGGCTCAAGGGCACCTTCACGGCCGCAGCAATGGCTTCTTATAGGCGTTCAAGGCTGCCGTTTGCCAGGCCTCAAACAAAACCCTCCAAAACCCTCCAAACGCTCCAAAAGTTCGCATAGCTCCGCAGGGACAAGGTACCCCAACAAGCCTAACCAAACCCTCCAAAACCCTCCAAACGCAAGGGCACCTTCCGGCCGCAGCAATGGCTTCTTATAGGCGTTCAAGGCTGCCGTTTGCCAGGCCTCAAACCCTCCGAAACCCTCCAAACGCTCCAAAAGTTCGCATAGCTCCGCAGGGACAAGGTACCCCAACAAGCCCAACACGCGCCACTCCCGCACGCAAAAGCCACCACAAGGCCACAGCAATGGCTCAAGGGCACCTTCCGGCCGCAGCAATGGCTTCTTATAGGCGTTCAAGGCTGCCGTTTGCCAGGCCTCAAACCCTCCAAAACCCCTCCAAACGCTCCAAAAGTTCGCATAGTTCCGCAGGGACAAGGTACCCCAACAAGCCCAACACGCGCCACTCCCGCACGCAAAAGCCACCACAAGGCCACAGCAATGGCTCAAGGGCACCCCACGGCCGCAGCAATGGCTTCTTATACGCGTTCAAGGCTGCCGTTTGCCAGGCCTCAAACGCCCAACACGCGCCACTCCCGCACGCAAAAGCCACCACAAGGCCACAGCAATGGCTCAAGGGCACCTTCCGGCCGCAGCAATGGCTTCTTATAGGCGTTCAAGGCTCCGTTTGCCAGGCCTCAAACCCTCCAAAACC